CAACGGAGACAGCAACGACGTTGGACGGCGAAAAACAAGGTCTTGTGGAGTCCGAAAGATCCGCAGTTTTTGCCCCCGGAACTGCGGCTCCTAGTTTTCCTCAGGGACAGGGCTAGGTCGACGTAGCATAGGGGAAAGGGAACGGCGTCGGGGTGAAGGCGACCGGTGTCTGTTGAAGTTCCGGCGAGGTGAAAATGTGTCCATGGTGGCATTGTCGCCATATACAGCAGGCTCCGATCGTGCTGAGAAATCGTAATTGTTGGGCCTGACGTCGCCACGCAGGAAAAACTCGCGCCGTCGACAAAATCGTGCCACGTGACCCGCAATTCCACAGGCGAAGCATATGGGGCGGTTGTCTTGAGTGCGCCAAGGGTTCTGAAAGCGTGGAGGTGGTGTTCGGGAGAAAGGACGGGCAGTCTGGTACATAGGCTCAGTCGGTACGACAAAGGGGTGCGTGGACGTAGGCGTTCGCGACAAAGAAACGTGGCCGTTCGTGACAGGCGGACGTCGGGTTCCGTTCAGTGCTTCGGCATAGGTCAATGGAGCAGCCACCGGTGGTGCGTGAGCTGTTGGTAGCGCCTCGGACACTTGCTCCTGGACTACTCACTGTATTGATGGCGCTAAAGTAGATGGGGCACCTTCGGAGGTATAAGGCACGAGGGACAACTGGCGTGCGACCTCCTCTCGTACAAATTGCTTGATCTCGAGAAGCAAAGTGGTGTGGTCTATAGCAGTGCCAGCCGACGTTAAAGCGGAGATTGTTGCACATGGCGTGCTGGCACGACGAGAGGTGTCACGCTGTTTCCAGAGCTGATCATAGCTCTGACAAAGTTGGACAACTTCCGCTACCGTTTGCGGGCTTTTGGCGACAAGCATCTGAAATGCGTCGTCAGTCACGCCTTTCAAGATGTGTTTGATCTTCTCGGCCTCTGTCATGGCCGAGTTGACACGCCGGCAAAGGTCGACCACATCTTCAATATAACTGGTGTCATTCTCACCATTCTGCTGAGCCCTAGTACGCAAGCGCTGTTCGGCCCGTAGTTTGCGAAGCGCTGGGCGGCCAAACAAGTCCGCAAACGCCGTTCGGAAGGCCGACCAGGTGGGGAGGTCTCTCTCGTGATTACGGTACCACAGACTGGCGATGTCGGTCGAATAAAATTGGACGACTGTAAGCTTGTGTGCATCGTCCCACTTGTTGTGCTTGCTCCCCCGGTCGTATTCGTCAAGCCAGTCTTCCACGTCTTTGTCATCGGTTCCACTGAAGGTAGGCGGATCGCGTTCTGAAAGGTGCCGAGACAGACAGGAGCTGCAGTAGTTGGAGCCGAGGCGCAGTTTTAGTACGTGACTACAGCGCAGTTTTAGTACGTGACTTTTAGTACGTGAGTTTTAGTACGTGAGTTTTAGTACGTGACTAAAACGTGAGTTTTAGTACGTGTTTTAGTACGAGGCGCAGTTTTAGTACGCGACTACAGTAGTTGGAGCCGAGGCGGCCGCCTGCTGATCGTCGTTCGTGGACATCGTAGCAACTGGAGGCAACGTACGGTTTAGCAATTCCAGGATTAGGCGTTACCCCGCACCTCCACCAATTATAATGAGGCGTTTTAGAGTGGCACTCTTTTATAAAGCAGAAGAGCGGTCACGACACGTCAAGTGGTAATGGCGGAACTAGCCTGAGCCCCAGCCAACCAAACGTCGTCTTCTTCACCGACTGAGTCATACCCCCTGCCTTTCTGAGTAGCCTCATCTTCTTCACTACAATATATATATATATATATATATATATTATATATATATATATATATATATATATATATATATATATATATATATATATATATATATATATATATATATATATATATATATATATATATATATATATATATATATATAGCAGGTAATGTAAAGTGCGCATTCACACCGTGGTCAAAAAGGCTAATTTTATGCCCACACACTAATGTGTCGGCTCTCTCAACTCAGACACAGATCGAGCTTGTTTTTCAGTGAGCAGTGAACAATATTTCTGTGAGTCCTAGTCCGAATTAGTCCGATCGTGTAAAATATCAGCGAGTCTGCGTCTGAGTCAGTCCGGTCACGGACAATCTTGGTAAGTCTGATTTCGAGTGAGCCTTAAGCGCTTAATTGATTTCTTGAGAGAATCTGAGTGAGCTCCGCCTTACTTTGCCGACTTATATCCCCCCATATACTTTTTATTTAGCATTTGATGATGATTTGTGGGGTTTAACGTCCCAAAACCACCATTTGATTATGAGAGACGCCGTAGTGGAGGGCTCCGGAAATTTCGACCACCTGGGGTTCTTTAAAGTGCACCCAAATCTGAGTACACGGGCCTAGAACATTTCCGCCTCCACCGGAAATTCAGCCGTCACAGCCGGGATATTAACCTTGATTTAGCATTTCTCTATAAAGATAGGAAGCACACGGCTACATGGAATTAGGAAAACAAATCAACAGAATAATCGCTAAGTTATTACCAAAATCTTTGAAGTACTAAAACTGCTTCATATGCCATAGTGGTTCCCCTGCAGCTACTCTGAACCGCGAGCAAGGCTGATGCATGCGTAGCTGCATAAGATAAATGGTTGTTCGACATCTTGTCCACACTAACAGACAAGGACAGAGAGAGGTATATACAACGACACGGGCGGTAAACTTTCAACTCGTTTAATCATAAAAAGACATGCGTAGACACAAGCGCAAACAGAGTTACATGCACTTATCGGCTTAGCGGGGCATGCAGTGCACTTATCGAAGAAAAAACGCCAGGCCTGCGCGGAAGGCGCCGCATAGTCACAGCGAAAGCTAGAAGAGCGGCCTTTCAAAGCCTTTCAAAACACTTATTTGGTTACTACAAGCACACTTGCTTGATACCTACTAGAGCAATAATAATAACATTTTTTGGTAGTAGGCCGGTATTTGCTATGACATTTTTTCTCATACTTCTGAGAAGCGTCGTACCCGCTAAACACTCGCAAGAAATTTTGCGCCAATTGTCCATGCAGCAGCTGACTACGATGAGGAATTATAGCTCAAGTGGGTATGCGCTTCGGGTGATATGGGAACAAGAAGTTTTTGTAATGGGTTGGAACATTAGATAACCAACTCCTTATGCTATTCGCATTGTGCAACGACATGTTGTTCTTTCGCTGTTTTAAAACGCTTTATAAGTCGTATTAACGCGATTGCTTCCCAACATCAAGTTGCCTAAGGCAATGAAGAAGAACGGCTATTTGGGCTAGTTGGTTAGAATTCATGGTAATAAGGGCTGCAGCGCGAGCCCGAAGGCGCTAGAAGAAAGGTGAAACGAAAGGCGAGGCAAGGAAAGCAAAGAGGACAGCGCTCGTGTTGTCCTCTTTGCTTTCCTTGCCTCGTCCTTTCGTTTCATGTTTCTTCTAGCACCTTCGTGCTCGCGCTGCAGCCCTTATTACCGTGATGCACAAGGCAAGTTTGCCAACAAGTCCCAAGCACCAGTGTGGCTCAGTGGTAGATTACTGGCCTGCACCCAGCGCACCCGGGTTCGAGCCCCACTGTGTCATTGATGCTAGTTCTTTTTTCCCTAATATCGCGTGATGTGGTTATGGACACCGGCGGCGGCAGCGGCAAACAACTACGCGTGACCTCAATTGTGATCTTATAACAGCTTTCGCTGTGAAACACATTTCTGATTTAAAGATTTTAATAGGTGTATCATTGACACAGTCATCACTTCTCTTTCTAGTAAAACAGGCTTCTAATAGCTCTCGAGCCGTTTATTCTTAGCTTGTGCCCAGAATCTTTATCCCCTGATGTCCTACACAGGGAAGACAGGGTGGTGGCCCCGCCGCAGTGGTCTAATGGCTAAGGTACTCGGCTGCTGACCCGCAGGTCGCGGGATCAAATCCCGGCTGTGGTGGCTGCATTTCCGATGGAGGCGGAAATGTTGCCCGTGTGCTCAGATTTGGGCGCACGTTAAAGAACCCCAGGTGGTCGAAATTTCCGGAGCCCTCCATTACAGCGCCTCTCATAATTATATAGTGGTTTTGGGACGTTAAACCCCACAATCAATCAATCAATCAAGACAGGGTGGTGGCTGAATGACCAATTTAGGCAAAACAAACAGAAGGTAAAAGGAAAAAGACGATTTGGCACACCTGCCTGTGCACTGTAAAGACTGGGCGTGTGAACCACGGTTTCAAGTGATAAAGATTTTGGGCAGAAGCCAATATCAAACAGCTCGAGAGCTAATACAAGCTTATTTTATTAGAAAGAAAAGGGTTTACTCAGTCTGTGATACAACTACAGGTGTTTCAAGAGATATGTCCAATATTCTTTCAAAATCAGCAAAAGGTCCTATTTGCTCTCTGTTTTCACAGTTGCTTTTTCTGTAACAGCGGGCGCGTTAAGACATAATTTGAAACGGTAATTAGCAGAGTTAAATTAATCAACTGTTTAATTAGTGGTGTTAGGCAGTTACGTCGAATTGAATAGTGAAGTCCTTGATGAGAGGAACCCATTACTGCCTTGAGATTTCAGAAAAGCGGCCTCTAGTAATAATCAAGAAGCAATGAATTTGTCCTAAATTCGGCGGTGAAACTGAAACCAAAGTACCGGTGAGTGCAACAAGCAGATAACTACAATGACGTCACTGTTCAAAATAGCTGTTCCTTCCTTCCTTCCTTCCTTCCTTCCTTCCTTCCTTCCTTCCTTCCTTCCTTCCTTCCTTCCTTCCTTCCTTCCTTCCTTCCTTCCTTCTTTTTTCTTTCTTTTTTCCTTCCTTCCTTCATTCATTCTTTCCTTCCTTCCTTCCTTCTTTTTGCTTTCTTTTTTCCTTCCTTCCTTCATTCATTTCTTCATTCCTTACTTACTTCTTATACCATAGAGACCACAGACATTGCTCTCGTTTTATTTCTAGTAAATTGTAATTATCGCCTGTCTTGTCGGCCCTTTCACAGCTATTTACTTTACAATGCAGCTGAGGTAACACTTGCTTTCTCTTCCAGTCAAGTTCACAGACTTTGCGCAATTGAAAAAGAAATTCCCCAGACTGAAGACGTTTACCTCAGTCGGAGGGTGGAGCAACCAGACAAGAGTCATATCGGCCATGACTTCTGGAAGAGAACGGCGAAAAGCATTTATCAAGGACGCCAAGAAGCTGCTAGTGGACCACGACTTTGATGGTCTGGACATCCACTGGCTTTTTCCCGGATTTGCTGACCAAGGTGGAAAGAACTCCGACAAGGTCAACTTCGTCAGACTTTTGAAGGTAAGAAAGCCAAAGTTTCTTTTTAATAATCACAGAAAGCAAGAAAAATAGCCACAAGAACTTGATGTGCACGTTTCGGAGGTGCACCAGTCAATGGTGACTCTTTGCGAACAAATGGTACGAATAGTCGAAATGTGGACCTCACGTATACCTAATTTAGAATGGGAAATTCATACCTAGGCTTGGGACTACCAGGATTGACGATAACAGTGTGTCCGCCATGGTGGATCAGTAGTTAAGGTGCTTGGCTGCAGGCCCAAAGGTCGCGTGTTCGATATCGACCACTGCGTCGCATTCTGGTGGCGGTGAAATGGTGGACACCCGTGTACTGTATGCAATGTCAGTGCACGTTAAAATACACGGGATGGTAGAAATTTCCGCAGCTTTCCGCTACAGTGCCTCTCATAAACATATCGTGGTTGTCGGCCGTAAGACCCCGGATAATATTTTAATACGATAACAGTACGCTTTCGAAAACTCCATTATTGGTGCTATATGTTTTGACTCTTGTGTTTTTTTTTCGGATTATAACTGGCCTACAAGAAGAACCAGGCCTCTTAGAAAACTACCGCTTCAGTTTATGCGCACGCTCTTGCCGTTATATCGCACATCTTGTTGCATCATAACGCGTTGTCGATCGACCTTGTTACTAAAAAATGACACTTTTTATTCACTGAGTTTCAAGTGGCAGTAAAAAAAAGAGTACCCATTCTTTGACATCTCTGGTCTCCAATTGTGAAAATAGGCTTTGTTTTCAATGGTACGCCAGCTCAAACAGTTTCCCTGGTTCTCACAGTGTAAAGGCCAGTTTATATTCCGCAGGAATTGTACGCTGCCTTCAAGGCGCACAACCTACTGCTTACGGCTGCCATTCCCATTAATCAGCAAATACTGGACAATGGCTACGACATACGAGCCATTGACAGGTAAGTTTATTGCACCCTTTCTTTTTCACTCGACGGTTTCCAAAACGGCACAGTATAGACGGTTTCGCCAGAGCCTGCCAGTCTCTAGCAACATCGTGCGTTCACCGGAAAACCAGCCCTGGAAACTTCTGGTTTCGCTTGTTTTTGCGTGGTTTTAGCGATTGTTGCTGGCCGCGGCTGCTTGTGTTCCGATGTTTTATGCGGATAAAATTATTCTGATGAAGCACTGGCAACTGGAGCACAGCTGTGTCAAGCCAGGATGCAGTCTACATGCCTAAATTAATTTTATATGCTAGTCCAAACGCTCTGTTTTCCAATCTATGACGACAGAAAGAGCGCCTGCATTGTAGAGGTCACGCGAGACAACTGAATTCCCACTAAGAGCGCGTAGGTTTGTTCTGCACTTCATCAAAGGCAATGTAAAGCTCAGCGCAGACTGATGGCACAGAAGCGATACTCAGACGTTAGGCTATAGTCGAAAGCGCCCAGTTACTGGAAACGCATCATGCAGTCTCTTTCGTGTTTCACCCGTGGCCCTTAAGTGTACGGACGCCTGAAATGGGCAGCGAAATGCAAAAGCTAGCACTGAAAATCTATCGCAAAGGTGTTTACTTTATAGTTTGAGCGATATCAATTTTGTGCACTGTTCGAAACAACACGGGACGCAAAGTACCCGCGCTTAACATGACTCGCCGCACAGTGTACGTCGTGGTGTGCACGTTTCATTGTCATTGCATTTTATACTTTTTGAAAAAAGCGGCACCGGTGAAAGGGCTCTCATCTGTGCGAGCAAATGACTCATCACCTGTCCTTCTGCCACTAATCGACATTGCCGCATTTTAGGTAATGTATCTTTTGGATGTCAACATGGACTGTAAATTTATGTAGGTTGAACTTGAAAGTTTGATTCATGAATAGCTTACTCGTGTGTAAACCATAATAGTTCGCGTGACCCTGCAGCCGCAGCTGACGTCATCACATCAGAACATTTTATAATTTCTCAGTCACATGAACACTTCAGATTGCGAGTGATTCCGATCACTGCTGGTCTTTTTAAAAAGTGCCCGGTGTGACATAGGCGTAGAAATAAGCGTTTTATTCTTATGTTGTATGCTTAGACAAAAACACAAATATGTTCGGGGTTCAAGGGGACGAAGGTTTCCACTTATAGTCGAAAAGCTGAATTGAACAACTTCACAAGGAATCAAGCAACCCTTCTTCTGCATGTCGACGATGTGGGTGCACTTTGAAGACGCGGACAGAGAAAAGACAGGTGTGCGCTGTCATTTCCCGGTCCACGTCTTCAAAGCGCATCCACATTATTGCCATGCAGAACGAACTGGCCCAATGAAGTTCGCTGACAAGCTTCTCCTGCAGTTTATGCATTTTCTGTTTGTATAGGCGTGATCACTATAAGAGGCAACACGTAGCAGGGGGCCGTACTCATCGGAACGCCACGACAGATATTTTTCACGGCGCTCATCGACCACGCGAGCAGTGAGCCTCTTCATGTAGTTGATAGACGTTGCTGCAAACACACCCCGAGGAATGCTCCAGAAATAACAGAGCCGCAAACTGAAACACACCACGAAAACACCACTGGAACAATTGAAGAAGCGTTGCCGGAAGTGCCGCACCAGAAGTCTGCTGTGGTAGGCCATTCGGCGCAAGCCAGTTTGTTTACAAACACCGAAAACGTAAAACTAGCATCCGATCTAATGCACCTTGCTCGAATCCGTATTAAGTGAAATATTGTTTCCAGCCTAGCAAGGCCATACCTTGCTCGGAGTGATGTTTCTTTTTTTTTCCAGTTTCAGTTACGGTGTGTAGTTTCACTTAGGCCCCATGATAGCGTAGAGTGTAAAGCATTTTTGAACGGAAGCTGCCGTATTGCGACTGAAACAGACAATGTTGGTTTAGTGGCGCAGTTTTTCGAGTGCTGTGTGGTTGTGGCGTAATGGTTAGCACGTGCGTACTAAGCACTGGTGGGTATAGCGCTAGGTTATAGCCCAAATACTCGGTTCACTCATTCGCGAAAACATTTCAGGTATGTTGACTGGATGAATGTCATCGGTTACGACATCAGAGGATACTGGAATGGCAGAACAGACGTTCACAGTCCTCTCCATCGTAGAAGCATCGACGGAAATGATACCGCTGATTTGAACGTGGTAAGCGGGAATACCAACTTCTAAGAACGTCAAGCGATGTCCTACGGGCAGAGCTAATAGGGTTGCATAAAGTTCGATTTAATATCGATGGTATTTATGATCTCACAGCACCGCACTGCTCCTGCGTTCAAACTTGAAAGGAGGCTCGCCAAACTCGATACGACACTCATGTCTGATTTTTTTACTCACTGTAGGCGGTTCAATTCTCAGACTGAAATGCGTCGGGCGATATGCTTGCGTCCTTTAAAAGATAACAACTTCAGAAGAACAAACATTTTTCTAGGTGTTCTATAGAATGACAAGGACATGAGCCACAGCATTGAGTCCAAGCACCTACATAGTTCACCACCGCGCGTCAAATTGAAGCTTAAGTTTAGCTACTTGCCCGCTGTCATATACACTTTTTCACAGGAGGGAAAAAAACACCGCCATGATTAGCGGTGCGTGGGAGTACAAAGGCCAAGGGCTCAGCCTTGTCAGTGCATTTTTGAGGGGTCACGCCAATTTGCGCAGCCTAAAGAGGACTATGGCGGTGCCCAGGGAGGCGTTTTTGAAAAAGTAGCGTTCACCTTCAGGGGGACCGAAGGTTAAGTAAAGGTAGGGTGCCTCGATGCGTGCGCCCCCGCTCAGGGTGCTGCCACCTTTTGCACTGCTCTTTCCGCCATTGCAGTGCCTACAGCGTTTTCTCCAAACTGTAGAGCTCACGTCCGGGTTTTGTTTGGCATATTTAGCCTGGATGTTGCGTTCCTCAAGGCTACAACCAATCGCGTTAAGCTGGGGGGCACTACGCGTCAGAGCAAAGCTTGTATGCAGCGGGAGTGATAATGGCGGCTGCCGCAGATGTCTTCACTCTGAGTGGAGGAGCGGGTATCGAGGCACTCTAAACGAAGGTTCATCGCACCACCCACATTATTTATCATGCCAATGTACGGTACTGACTGTGTGCCCCTGACCCCCGTTTGTATGTCTCCTTCGCTTTTTCGATAGCTTTTGTGTACCTTCGCACAGGAAACCGGCCTTCAGGTGCTGCTGGGTCGCGGAGCCTCCAAACGGAAGTTAGTGCTGGGCGTGGCCTTCTACGGGCGCGTTTACAGGCTGTCCGACCCCCAGAACGTCGGCCTGCACGCCCCTATCGACTTAGTGAAGAAGCCGCAAAGGGGCGCCTTTCTCATGAGCGACAACATACATGCCTACTTCGAGGTGATCTTTCTAGAATTACACTTGCGGTAGTTTATCAAGCGATCTTGCTGGACAGCTTTCTCTGCACAAATATTTTACCTGGGTTCGCTTATGCCCATCTACAGCAAAAATATACCTAACGCATAAGCACGTTATGTCAACGCTACCAACTTTAAAAGATTAAAAAAACAATAAATAAGAAGTTCTTGCAGTGGCTCGGTTTAAGCTATAAACACATAGCTGGCCTGACACCTACTCAACGCTATATTATACTGTACACACCAAGGCTTCCAAGATTAAATAACTGAAAAACAACTTTGATATTATACACAAATAATGAAAACAACAGACTAATAAGTCAGGAAATGCAAAATCAATGCGTAATTCTAAGGTCGTGCATTTGGATCCCACTGACTAAAAGGCTGTGTTTTGAGTGGACTTTTAATTCCCTTCACTTAGAGTGAGACATATTACACTGCCGTTAAGAAACCACAAGTAATGCTCCTAGCGCTTTTCTTCGCTAAACAGTCTGTAGGTTTTATTTGTTCTGTGCAACACAGAAAAAAAACGAGCCTCTCGGGCGATTCCCCTTCTTTGGAACGTTGGTATGAAGTATTCGTTTGCGAAACCATAAAAAAATATCACAATGGCTTACCATATATGAGTCTTGCCAACGCCTTCTAGCCCTCGCTGTGTTTCACCGAGGTTAGCATGCAAAACAAGCCCCTATACCTTCTCAATTTTAAGGTGGAGGGACTTTAATTATAGCAAGTTCTTGAGAATGAAATCACTGCAGACCAATGCTGTGTTAATAAAATCAACGCTAAAAGCCTGCCATGTTATGGTTTAACTTGCCTTGAACCGTAGATTGCCTTGTCGGCATGCATATCAGTGATGTATGGCTAACACAGAAGGAATAACTGCGTTATCTCACACAGACTTAAGTGCCAAACACATACACTGCACTTGTGTCTGTATATTATTTTTACGTATGTGTCGGGTAGCACAGTTACCCCTTTTGTGTTAAGATGCACCAACACGCCAGAAACAAACTTCTTGGATATCTGCAACACAATAGATATGTATTTGTAGAAGAACTTGTTTTTCTAAAGATGCATAGCTCTTATGTTAATTTTCATTCATTTTCATTCAACAAATTCATTTTGTTTGCACGGTTCAATGTCTGCCCCAGACGTTCGTTAATGCTACACTACTAATATTAACAGGGGGGCTGTCATAGAATACGTGGCCAGCGCGTTCCTTCTTGCAAGCGTTTCTTACAGTTTCAGGAAGCTTCATATAAGCTATAACATCCACGTATTTTTCCTAAACAATTTAGCATCGCCCTATTTATGTGAACAACTTTCTGCTTCAATTTCTGGGCGCCCAATTGGACAATGAAGTCACTGTGTAGAAAGCTGAAACTCGTAGACCCACGAAACTGGGGCGCATGCAGGATGATTTGTCGTCAGCGTGTCTGGACGCTTGATGTGGTACGGCGGCGATAATTTGGTGAGGTGCAGTCCTTTCTTCGGCACTGGGCCTCCTCAGGGGCTTCCGGTGACGAAATCGCCGGTGTCGTACTTTGGCAGCGGCCTCCCTGTGAGTTGAGCCGTCCCGGACCATTTGCCTCAACACTACCATTTCCTTTTTCATGTTTGAGCAATCTTTTGACGATGCTTCGTGAGGGCCATGACAGTTTCGACATTTTCGAAGTTCTGCCTGGCAAGCGTCTGCGCTATGTGATTCTGAGCATAGAGAGCACACAGCCAGGTTTGTACAAACAACACTGATATGTCCCAATCTATAAAGTTTCCGGAATTGAAGGGGCTTCGGTACGAAGGGTCGCACTGTGTGTTGAAAATGGCCGACCTTGACTTGCGATGGAAGGCTGTCTCCCTTGAACACGAGCTTCCCGCAGCGTGATTTGCAAGGCGACAGGCTTGCAGTTTGGTAAGTTCTGCAGACATCGGTTTGATGAGAGAAGCAAAGTCACTTTCGCTGATGCAGATGTCGACATCGTAAATGACGCCTGCAGTAGAGTCGCGGCCATCAGGTATGTATGAGCGAACATTGATGTTATCCAACATCTTGACGTTGCTCAAAACTTCTAATGTGCTTCGTTGAGTGACGTCTATGGCGAGGATATTCTTACGGACATTGATCCGCACGTCCGCGATCTGTCCTTGGGCGAGTTCCTCAAGAAACCTAGACGTGGCTTGACTTTGGGCTGTCCAAAGAGCCTGCGATGCGGTGGTTAGGCTAGGTCTAACTGTCCCCACGTGGGAGCGGCCCGTGGTGTCGCCCTTAAAGGTGGCACTTCTCCGGATCATTAAATAATGTTCTTCGTACCATATGGCCAAGCTAGCCCGGGTAAAACACTGGAAAAGTTCACGAATAACGTGCTTATTCGTGTCGGTTAATGCACCCGCCTACACCCTAAAAACTGCGGAGGGTGTCGCAGGAGTGAATAGGCCAAGTTACTCTTTAAAGTATTCTTCTACTCTCGCAAAACATCAGATAGAGTGAAATTCATTTTCACTCTGTGTGAAACGAGAGAGTGAAATAGCTTTCTACTCTTCCGCTTTTTGAGGAAGTGAAACACCCGTATACCCTTCAGGCACGAGAGAGAGAAAGAGAGAGAGAGAGAGAAAGGAAAGGCCGAGAGGTTAACCAGATATTGGCGTCTGGTTTGCTACCCAGCGCTGGGGGCGGGGAAATAGGGGCAAGAAAGAGGGGGTAGATACAGAAAAAAAAACGCACGCGCACTCATGTGAAAACGAAAACACACAGGAAGGGTGTCCTAGCTACAACCGTTCAGTAAGGCCAGTCGATCGCAAAATGTGAAGTTGCATCTTGTCGATATTGTAGAATTCCTTGCTCCGACAGAGGTTGATTATCTAATTTGCTGAGTTCCTTGCGAAGGCATTGTCGTTGTTTACTATACTCCAGGCAGTCACGAAGAATATGTTGGATCGTTTACTTTTTGCCACAGTAGCCACAGGCTGCGGTGTCGGCATCCCAATGCAGGCACAAGAAAGTAAAACGTGATTATACTCCTGCTCTTGATTACTTTTAGATGCGTCGGCGCACCGCGAGTGATTAGCAATACCTAATAATCACACATATATGCAGTAAAATGTACTGCATTTGTTTGTTGAGGCGTTAGAGACGATTAACAAAAGAACAGCGGTTCCAGCGCGTGCCAGTGAATTTCAGCGCACTGGAAGGCACTTGGAACTCCTAATATCCACGTTTTTAGCTTTGGATATGTATTGTGAAATAAGCGAATACTATCTCATTCAATGGGTCTTGATCGAAACTCAAGGCAGACGGCTATGATATTCTACTTATATCAATATTCATGTGTTCGCTACGACCATCGCACACTGGCGATGGGGCCGTAAGCCTAACGTACGGTACGCCTACAGTAAAGTATTGTTGCTTTAGTGCTAGAAGGTGAACAAGAATGACCGAAAATATGTCCAAGGGGGTAGAACAAAAACTAAACTGTTTAGTGTACACATCAGCGGGATGTTTCGTACGCAGAAATGACTAACTACTTTGCGAGTCAGTGCAAATGACGTTCACAAAATTGGTTGCGATAATATTTTTGTTTCTACTGTAAAAAGCGTGTAGAACAGACGTTTTAATCTCACGAAGCACTAAACAAACACATTAAACACGTTAGATACGGTCCGAATGGTTTTGAGAAGCGCAGATACACTCAAACCTATGCGCCTAAACAAGAAATTGCAGACATGTCACTAAAATTACTTGCGACATAACAAAAAACGCCTTATTGCCGTCTGTCAGTGTGGTGTAGTCACAATAATGAAAAAAAAGTAAGTGTGGTGTAGTGGTTAGTGTGGTGGGCTGGAAATCTGCAGTTCGTCTGGAGTTTGAAGGTTTGAATCACACTTAGTTGTGATTTGAACATCAATCGTTTTCTTTTTCGTAGTGTTCGTTTTAAGCTATCCTTACATTCCGCGCGCGCGAGGAGATCCGTCAAAAACAGTTAAAAAGACCAATTTCTGCTCAAGTTCTGCTTTTTTTTTCGTCAGGTGTACTGTTACTCTCTGTGGTGGGGCCATGCTACTCTGCTTCGGGAATGCAGCGTTATGCTACTCTGTTGAAGTGGAGTGCTTTGACCCGTTCGGGGAAATCACTGTACTCGGCCTCACGAAGAGGTCATTTACTCTAGAAAGAACAGTGAAATATGGGACGAGAAAGCCCTCTCCCAAAAAGAGTGCCCAGCACTCTCTTAGTTTTTAGAGTGTACTGACCCACTTTCACTTCAGATTTGCAAGAACATCAAGTTTGGCTCGTGGAGACGCAGCTTCGACTCGCAAGGAATGTGCCCGTACGCAACCAATGGCCAGGACTGGGTGGGATACGAAGACGAAGAAAGCATCGCCAAAAAGGTAACGTGAAGTAAACAATTTAGCCAATATGATTTTGCTGGTGAGCGCAAGCTAACTGTGGGTGTGTACACGTCAGAGTTGCCAGACGTTATCCTAGATAAGAAGCAAATAATCACCACAAGGGAAGCCCGGAAGGAGCGACAATTTAATTATTTTTCTGCATCTGGAAAAAATGTTAAGTTCACTGATATTCTCATATTAATTATTTTGAACAGATTAAGTATGCGCAACTATGAACGAAAGTACATATTTAATTTTTAACATTATCTGCACGGTAGTCTCTGTTCAGTTGAATGCTCTTTTGCCAATGCATGATCAACCTTAATTGTTGATCATTTTTAACGTATGTTTGGTTTCAACACTAAACTACTCAAAGTCACCAACAAAGGCGCAGTTACCAAACGATGAACGTGTTATTTGTAAACGTGATGATCACTAAAATAAATATATTCGCTTAAGAAATGGAAATAGGCCCGGAAAACGCGATAATTACGTGGGTGAAAAATTCTACAAGTGACTCGGTGAAAAGAAACAAACAAGTCCGCTTGTTACAGGCGGAACTCGCAAATTTGGGAGACGTTCAAATGTGTAAATGCATCACCGAACGTATAGCGGATGCCATTTCATCCGTGTTTGCGCTCCTGAGACGGGAAAAACGTTAATGCAAAGCTGAACTCCCAATTAGCAGCGTTAAGGACCTACAGCTCGAGCCCTCCAACACACGACATACTTGAATGATAAAAATACGGGGGGATTTCACGTTGCAAAACCGCCATATTGGTATCAGGCAAGCCATAGAGGAGGGCTCCGGAATTTCACACCATTTAGTGTCCGTTAACGTGCACTGATGTTGCTCAGTACACGGGTCTCAAGCATTACATCACCACTGACATGCGACCGCCTCAGATGGGACCGAACCCATTACCTTCGGGGCAATAGCCAGCCACTGTAACCGCTACATACAACTTGCGAGTACGTCACAACGCGGAACTCTAAGATGCGATCTTGGCATGTGCCGCCATCACCATTTCCATGGCAGCAAAGGACACCGAGTCACGCTGTGCGGTTATCGCATTTCCCGTCAACGCCGCACGTCGCAAAGGCGGTGTGTGCGGTACTTGACCACCGCGCGAGAAGTAAGTATAAGTGAGATAAAAAAGAAGCAGACTCGGGGACGTATACTATTTGCCAAAGGGGATGGATCACAAACCCGTGCGGTCGCACGAAGGAGCTGTCCTATAGAAGCGGGACAGATCGCTCATGCGCGCATAAACGGGAAGAACTTCAAGACGTTAAACAACGTTCTTGTACGCGGGCATCACTTAATAACAGGCAACTCATTTTCCCAATCTCGTGTGAAGTTGTTTCACTTATTTACAAGTACGACACCATGGTCTCGGACAAAGCTGACAAGGAGCATCCCAGTCAACACTACTTCGCTGCGGGCTGCGTAGTGTCTTAAACTATTCCATTTCGCCATAGCGCAAGGCAAACGATAAAAACACGTAGACTTCACCAAGCGATCCGCCACAGGAACGTGAACGCTGTGTGGTCACTCAGATGTATGTGCTCCGTGGGCTCGGCTATGGCGGATGGAAGACAGGAACGGAAGTGGCCTGCCAGTTACTTATGTAGACTGTTTTACGGGTGGGTTTTAGTGCCACCATATTTGGCTGTTAACCTTTGTGTTTTGTATATATTTGAAAACTAAACTAACAGTACTTCGGTAGGCGTATATGCATGAAAATGGTTGGGGTGGTGCAGACGATGTTTCAGCGCCTTATTCATTCACGTCGAAATATGCAAAAAGAAGAAAACATTGGCTTAACCGCCCGAGATGGCGGCACCTATACGTCTTTGGTGAGACAGTCTATATATAGCCGCAACGTACCAAAAACACGTTGCACACGCCGGCGTAATTTCACTTATGGAAGAGCGCTCAATTAGAAACTTTAGGACTCGGATAAGATGCGATTGTTCGGTAAAAACAAATTTCACATATCGACTCCAAAAATAAATGCGATGCAAGAATAGGCTACATATCTACATGCGTGCTTCGCTGCAAATGTCGTCAAAAAACGATAGTCGTCTGTCTGGAGGCGCTGCGTCTGGCGTGGATGCCATCTGGCTGTAATGTGGGGAAATCGAAGCTTGTTTAGAACGCAAAGCCACTGGTAGGTGGCAGAACTGTATAGTCTTGGCGAAGCGTATAGAGACACCCGCATTTTGTACATAGTGTCACATTGTTAACGCAGAGTGAGAAACAGGAGGGTCTCTATAGTTACGTATCTAAACATTTTCTATATTAAAGAAACACACCGCCTAATACTTGCGTATCGATGCTGTGCCTCAGATATGAGTAATATTTGTTGTTTTTGATCGGCAATGCTCACAAGTATGAACGCAGCCACGAGATCAAGATGGCTGGGCGTTAAGCAAGAGCTTAAACTTTCGCCAAGTGGCTGAATCCGGTGACAGCCATACATACATACATACATACATACATACATACATACATACATACATACATACATACATACATACATACATACATACATACATACATACATACATACATACATACATACATACATACATACATACATACATACATACATACAGCCCCGCCGCGGTGGTCTAGTGGCTAAGGTACTCGGCTGCTGACCCGCAGGGCGCGGGTTCGAATCCCGGCTGCGGCGGCTGCATTTCCGATGGAGGCGGAAATGTCGAGGCCCGTGTGCTCAGATTTGGGTGCACGTTAAAGAACCCCAGGTGGTCTAAATTACCGGAGCCCTCCACTACGGCGTCTCTCATAATTATATAGTGTTTTGGGACGTTAAACCACACATATCAATCAATCAATCATACATACATACATACATACATACATACATACATACATACATACCAAAATTTCTAAGTTCAAGCATCCCAAGAAAGATTATCCTCCTTAATATGTAGAAATTTAAAAGCGTTCGCATGAGGCATTCGAAGAGTAGATTTAATGCAAAACACGTGTATTCGCTCGTTGTGGCTCATGGTCACTTGTCTCACATGAGTGTAGCGAGGCTTTTGCTTTCTTGTGTTGCAAGAGTGCGAGCCCTGCTCAATTCTTTTTTGTTTTATGTGCACATTGTTATTCCAGGTCGAGTTTGTCCGGAAGGAAGGCTACGCCGGCATAATGGTCCTCAGCAGTGACATGGACGATTTTCGTGGAGTATGCGGAACACGCAACATTCTGCTACAAACGATCAATAACGGCATACGAAGGCTAAGAAACTTCGTTGTTTCAAGAAATGTTGAGAACGAAAGAACGCTACGTTGAGTTATGTAGCAGCACCTGTAGTTCGCATTTTGGTCGATATGTGTAACTATATGAATAATTATAGCGCAATGCTTGGTCTTGACTTTTTCCTTCCTCCATTGCGGGAATCGGACCATCACGCATATGCTAAGCACAGTGACATTTCTGTTGCCGCAGGCAGCAACTTCAGTCATGCAATCATACTCACGCTAGAATAAAATGTGACGACGCCAAACGACCATTCACTTGAATAAAAGATACAAATTGCCATATCGGGAATGGCTGATCGCCGACAATTAAGCCCATGGTGAAGAGACCATCTCTCATTGGAAAACAGCGCATGCAAATACGCATGTGACCAGCGAACTTTTGAAGACAGCACTTCTGTACGCTCGCCGGATATTTCGCGTGATATGCCGCCGACGCCACCCCGACATGTGTGCCACGAACGGGCTTCCCATGGACGGGATGCACAGTAGGCTGCAGGTAGTCACAGGTCAATCTAGTCTCTTACTTGTGTTCTGGCAACAGTGTCGCCATGCCCCGCCGCGGTGGTCTAGTGGCTAAGGTATTCGGCTGCTGACCCGCAGGTCGGGGGCTCGGATCCCGGCCGTGGTGGCTGCATTTTCGATGGAGACGAAAATGCTGTAGGCCCATGTGCCCAGATTTGGGTGCACGTTAAAGAACCCCAGGTGGTCGAAATTTCCGGAGCCCTCCACTACGGCGTCTCTCATAATCATATGGTGGTTCTGGGATGTTAAACCCCACATATCAATCAATCAATCAATCAATCAATCAATCAATCAATCAATCAATCAATCAATCAATCAATCAATCGACACTATTGGCACGTTGTTGAAAATAAACGTGGTACGGGGTGTGAACTTATACTTGTCAACGACATACACACCATTGGCGCTGCCGCTGTGGTTAAGGGAAAACTGCTAAATGGATAAAAAGTACTGCACCTGCTTTCAAATATACTTGAGACTATGTCAAACACCGAGTCACAAGGTTATATCTATTGTGCATTCTACAAATATAGTGACGCACCCCCCGTAATTTTGTTGAAAAGGCTGCAGAGGTATATATTCATTAGAAGTGACTTGCGAGTTTCTTGACATTTCATAGCGTTCTTAGCAGCACAATGTCAACAAATTGGTAAACAAACAAACAAACAAACAAACAAACACATACATACATACATACATACATACATACATACATACATACATACATACATACATACATACATACATACATACATACATACATACATACATACATACATACATACATACATACATACATACATACATACATACATACATACATACATACACACACACACACACACATGGATGGATGCATGCACGCCTATTACTGGAGGGCCTAATATCGAAAAATTGAGGTGACAATAACTGGCCACAACTCAAAAAATTTTAACTTAAAATAACGAGACCACCAAACGGTGGGGATCACCTCAAGCTACTTGTACCCAATTTTTTTTTCGAGATGGCCGGGTCAAGCGAAACCATTTCATTTCATTTATTTTACTACTTCACAGAGTACAGAGCATGAAAAAAAAAAAGCATTGCAGCACTTGAATATGTTTCCCAGCCTGTTACAATTCGACGTCACGCAGTGGCCATACAGAAATTTTATGCAAGAAACCAAAATAAAACGGAAAAATTTCATTAGAGGTATACACATAGTCTTCGAAAATGAAACAAAACAAGCGCTCGCATTATATACATACCCAAGGTTTTGAATTTGTAGATATGAGCGACATGAGAAAAGTGCTCCATGCGCAGCTTTACAACATAACTTAATGTCAACACCATTTTGTGTTGCAGCATTTAAATCAGAGTTTTCATATTGACACTTGTAGTACGTATACAACACGCAAACCCTGGGCTGCTGTAGGGCAGACGAATACAGGTGCCTTTGTTGGAGCGAGCACATGTGTCTTGGTCGACAATACATAGTCGCAGAAACGAAATAGTAATAGATGACACAACCACGCATAGACTGCCAGAAGACCACCTCGGTGGTGGGCAATGAAGATTCGCCAGTGCCTGTACAGCGGCTTATTTAAACATATCAAACCCCGTGGTTTTATGGTTGGTACAGACTGAAAGTATGCTAATAATAACATGTGGGCTCTTACGTCACAAAATCCCGATATGATTATGACAGACGCCTGTTGAAGGGCTCCTGAAATTTCGACCATCTGGTGTTTTTTTAACGTGCTCTGACATGGCACTGAACATGGGCTTCCATCGTTTCACGTTCATCGATATGCGACCGCGCTGGTGGGATCGAACCCGCGACATTCTGGTCAACAGCCGAGTGCCCCAGCCACTGATCCACCGAGGCGGACCAGACTGGAACTAGACAGGGAAGACAAAAGTTGAACTCACAAGCTGGAGGCATAACAAAACAACAATGTTAATAACGTAAGAAAGAAAACAGATGAATATAAGGAAAGTGTTCAACCCTCTTTTTTTCGTATGCCGTGGCTCTTTCAAAAGTGAGTCACCTCTGTCCTTGTGAGTGGCTCTCAACGTGTGTGTTGGCGGCAATTTGCTCCATTTAAAGTCCTATCATCGCCCAGCAGCCGCATTCCTACACTTTCTTGTCTCCACGTGTTGTGCTAAAGTAGGTTTGAGTCCGTGTGGCGTGCCGCTAATGATATCAACGAAAAGGATGTACGTACCTTCCGCGGCAACCGACATCCGTACCAGATGACGTCACGGAGCTACGCACGACACCGCAACACCACATCATTTGGAAACAACCTGAACCAATGACAAAGGCACTACAGACTTAGGGAACTTTTTAAAGGAAGAGGAAAAAACGAGAGATAAGATAAGCGAACACGTGATGTCACGACCGCGTGGATACAAATTTTCCAGCGAGCTGCAGTTGTAGCGAACACGTAAGCACAAGCTTGACATATGCTTGGTGGGCACGGCATGCAGTACTTCATTTTTATGCGTGCTATCCTTGGCGTACGCTTGAATCTGTCGAACAGATTCAAGCGTGCGCCGAAGAGAGACAGAAAGAAAAGCAGATATGGGCCATCAATCGATAATAGACATCTTGCATTTTCTCCATATTTTATGGCCATTGTTGAATTCAGGGTTAAATGCGTTGTTACATTATCGCAAACATGGCGGGACGGAAAAAGACGAAAATACTAAAAAGTGCAATAACACAAACAGTTGTGTTCGGGGTGTTTTTCAGCCTTTTCAGCACTTTCTATTTCACCGTTTTTTTTCCTCTCTAATGAATCCATAACAGCTCGCCCAATTGTCAGTATTTAAGCTACAGCCACTGAAACTTCGAGGTGGCTCGAAAATCACTTCATGAGATGGTTCCACACACGTTGCTCACTCATTAAACACTTTTTCGTGTTTTTTTGCGTGGGATAATCCGATGCTGCATCGTGTGTCCCACAATATCTTCAGAGGAATGAAAATGTCTTATTTTGTGTTAAATAGAGAGTGGCAGGAATTATTTTTGCCATTACAACTAAATTAAATGATTACATCTGAAGCTACATACTTGGAGCGAAAAATAAATACACATACGGCAGATCCCACTCATTCTGGAAGTCGATTTCATGCGAAGCAGTAGACTTGTAGTGACCTATATACCTGTTCACTGCTTTGAGACAAGCGCTGCGAGTTGGACCGACTTCGTTATACATTTTGAGCAGTGATGTGTGGGTGGGCTCGTAGCAAGTAATTTCGTTTCGAAGGAGGAGGACCCACTTTTTGAGAATTGAGGAGCGATTTGAGAATTGTGCCTATGCGAGGGAGCCACAATTGGGAGGTGTAAAACGCTTCATAGGGTGCTCCCCCTCTGCGGCCCCTCGACCAGCCGTATTGATCGTGGGCTTATCAGCGAACTCAAGCAGTATATAAAAGAAGACACAGAGATCAATAAGGACTCAGAGTTAGCAAGTGCGTCAGCGCAGCGTCAGTGGTCCGCCAAAAAAAAAAAACTTTATTATTTCTCTGGCATGCAATAAAAACCAGTTCATGGATGCGACACTATAGGCGCCTATCTCTCTTACATATTTGCTGGTGTTTTGTTTGTTTAGCAATGCGCATAGAAATAACTTTTCATTGGTTAGTACGGCAACGTCCTTGCCTGTCTTCGTCTTTGTCCCTCGTTTAATGTTCACATGCTGAAACTAGTGCCGGCGACTCGCGCTGCTGCACTAAGCGATAGCCCCCGTGTCCGAGTGGGACTGCAGGAGTCTCACCGGGCCATGATAGCGAGACAAGCCACGTCTGCCGAACGCTCTGCTTCGAGCGTAGGCATAAGTCTCCGGTAATGACCATCTGTCCAAACCGAAACCGCACCCCCCCCCCCCCCCCCCCACATAGGAGGGGGGACGTGCCACGGTAGATTTAAGGATGGGTCGATGAATATGCATATACAGCTCTCGGACAAGGTTTCTGTGGGCACCGCATACCCTCCAATATAAAAGCGGTACTTGCACCCCCAAAGTATCCCACAAAGTGTTTGAGGGGACGAATGTTGTCGTGCATAGCTCAATTGGTGAAAGTATTGGCTCCGTAATCCGAAGGTTTCAGGTTCTGTGCCTGCCGGCGGCAAGTTTTCGTTCATTTCACGGTGTTCACAGTTATAGCACAAATACTAAAACACACATAAAACAATACAATTGACGTCCCCTATGCTTTCCTTCGCTTCACGGTTCGCTGGTTTTCAGTAGCGATCTACTCGTTGAAATATTTAACAAAACGTTCAAACTGATCGTCGCCTAAATTGCAGACAAGAGATTGACGATTCCGTCTCGAGGAGCTGTTTGAGCACCGTGCGCCCTTCTGCCACATTCTCCACATGTGTCGTCTTGTCTGGCTTGCCGCATGCGCACGAAGTGTGTGGCACAAACGTTCATTGCCAGGGTATTGTTGTTGTTTTCCTCTGGACATGGCACGTATACCCAATGGAGGGGATGGGACCTGTAGCAGGTGAAGTTTCCCCGTACTTTCTGGATTGCTTCATTCCTAGTAGTGCTAGTTAGTTGATGTTGATTTGAAGTGATAATTGACAGTTGGAAATATGTACTGCGCATGTAATTTAACAAAATAATGGTTTAGTTGCATTGATATATTCCTGAACGACAAATAAAACGTCCCTGTGGCTGTACCCCAATGTAGGGGCTCTGAGAAAAAAAAAAGAACAGGCCTTGCTCGAAGAGGTGGTGCTAGTATTCTTTTCCTGAAAAAACC